TGTTACAGATGTGGCGCTAGAGGCGGCGGGCATGTTGTGGGGGTTAGTAGCCTTGTCTTGCGCCAATCACACCATTGTCGGCGACGGCATCGTCGAGGGGGCTGTGGACGAAGAGACTCATAGCGCTTCTCTGCGGACTGCGGGAGGGTAGGTTGTGAAATTTTAAATTGGGGAATTGGGGAAGCGGTGCACCGGATCGCTACCGCGGATGGCTGCTGACCAAGGTCGACGCAAGGTCAACAAGAAGAACTCCAGACAGCCTAGGGCCTCCAGCATAAGTTTGCAGAAATGCTCCTAGACTTTACTGTTTTTACACACAAAAATCCATGAGTCTTTGACGGTTTCAGAAAAGCCCTGAAAAACTAGTTTTTATCTGCGAAAATGCCCCTGTAAACTGTTTTCGACGGAACTTCCATGTTTTAGTTCCGACGGAACTTGCGCCCACACGATCGTTACAACGAGTTTTACAGTTTATTAGTGTTCTTTTCATGTACTGTTGCTGCTGTTTTATGTATTATTTTACTTATGTCATGATTGTTTGCTTGTATCTAAATATGTGTGCTTATGTGTTCACTACGCTTTGATGGAGATCAGTTCGTGATCACTAAAGAACAAACATTTAAAGAGTCTGAGCAGCTGCAATTTGGAAGAAAAAAATAAGTGCCCTTTAACCATATTGATTACCTAATAACATTTTAATCACTTTGTTTTTATGCATGTATCTAACTTTACAGCGTGAGGGTCGGCGGCCACCGCACGGACGACTGACGAGCAACTGAGTCAGCTGACACCGTAAACGGTCTAAATCTCGTTCCTAATGCAATGTTGGTCTAAATCTTGTTCCTAATGCAATGTAAATGGACCATGCAGGGATGGTTTTCCAACGTATGCACATCTGGCCCCTCTGGTGAGGGTTATCATCTGTGTGGCATGTCGTGGAGAGCATTAATCAAGACCGATTCCGTGATTCGGGTGATCACAAGGACTTCTTTTCTTATGAATGGTTGATCACAAAGTTACAGTTCACAGCCTAAGAGGATGTCACAATATATACATACGGCTAAACAGACAACACGTACAATGAGTGGCTGTCTGTTAATTCTTTAATGTCTACGTGTAGCCATGGAAGTGTAAATATGATTCATGTTACCATTGTGTTGCTTGTTGATAAAAAAGATCAAACATAAATAAGATGATATGGTTACAATATTTTTTGGAACCATGAATATAAATGATATATTAATATTATTTATATATAATTAATAGAACAAAATTTTCATGAATCAAATAAAACAAGTTGCAGAGGAACAATGTTTCAAAACAAGCTGGCTGCTAATTGACAGCAGGAGCAATGAAACACATTCACAGTAACAGCATGAGCATGGTCACGTTCACATTTAGTATTCAGTAGGTAGATAACATGATCTAAGCAAATTTAAAAGAAAAAAAATTGATAGCATGCAACAGCAAGACATTATCTGAGTAAAGATGTCAACGGGCCCCGTTCCCCGATTCCCTGCGGGGAATTCACCCATTAAAGGACGGGGATGGTATAAATTTTCTCCCCATGGAGAATTAAATGGGGAAAAAATCATCCCTATCGGGTACGACGGGGACAGGGATGGTATGCATGCCCCCGTCCCCGTTCACCGCGGGGACCCGATGCCTCCCTCTCCCTCATGCCCCTCATGCCCCTCGAGGAGGCGCGCCCGACGCCTCTCCTCTTCCTCCTCCACTCTCTCTCTCTCTCTCTCCCTCGGCGGCGCTCCCCTCCCCTCCCCATCTGGCGGCAGCCCTTCCCCTCTCCAACCCGGTGGCTGGCGGCGCACCCTCCCCTCCCCCCCGGCGAGGGCTCGTGGCGGCGAGGCCTCCTGGATCAGGAGCACGGCGCCCAGCATGATCTCCTCTCCATCCCGGCAGCGCCCCCTCCTCTCCCCATCCCGACGGCCGGATCCGGAGCACAGCACGGCGCGGCACGACGACCGCCTCGCAAACCCTAGCTCTCCCGCTCTCTCCCTCTCCCATGCGCCCCAAACCCTAGCTTGCCGCCCGCCCACGCCCACCCGCCGGATCATGCACGCCTCGCCTCCCGGTCCCCATGGAAGCCTCCGCCACAGATCCGCCATGGGCCCAACCCCAGTAGCGCCAAGAAGCCGCGCCTCGCCATGCAGATCCGCCGCTTCCCCAATGGTGCCGCCAGGCCACCGCCAAAACAAGCGGTCGACGAGCCGCCGCCGGCGATGCGGACCGTGCTCGGGAGATCACCTTCAACTCAAGCCCATCATCACCAACATCACCATCATCGCCATGAGAACCTCCAAAGCTAATGCGGGGATGGGATCCTGAGGGGATTAAATCCCGGCGGGGGCGGGATGGGGAAGAAGTGCTACCCGTGAGCCTTCACGGGGGCGGGACGGGAAAAATTGCCCCCAGCTGGGACGGGATGGGGGGCAGTAACCCCGACGGGAATTCCCGCTGACATTTCGGGATCTGAGTCCTTGTCCAACAGCATGCGCACATCTCAGTCCTGCAGTTGCTTCTCCTTTGATGTACAAGCAACAGCAACAAAAGGCAATAGGATGTACCAGCAACAACAAAAGACCAGATCATTTCACACCTTCCTGTAAACAGACAGACTTCTTAGTAAACTTGAATGGAAAAGCTCAATAATATTGGAAATTAGCAGCATACACCAGGTCTCACACATCAGTACACATTCTAGCAGCATACAGAGGAATATTGTGAAGGATAGAAATTAAAAAGTGAACAGTCATCTCAAAATTGCAAGCCCATCACTGCAGAAACCACAATGTATTTCACTGTATTCTCCTATCAACATCAAAAACTGAAAAGCTGCAATTCATTAGTGTGACAATCATACTGTAAGGAGGTTAAACAGCTTAGACCTTCTAACATTGAGAAATAAACATAAAAAATTAAAAAGTGACAGTTTACATCATTCAGTTTTCAGAGACAGGCTAGGTAACATTCAGTTATCAGAAAAAAAAGATAACACAAAAGAGGTTCCATTGATGTAAATGCAGTTTAATAGCCCAAGCATCCAAGATTATATATTCAGGTATGAATGAAGAAAGATCCTTAGTAACTTGTACTCTTTGCCATAAGCACTGGACCTTTTTTTTTTTTACTTATAAATCGCTCCTGTCCAGAAAATCAAATGACAGTTCATGCCTTGCAACATTTGCACTGGACTCTGAATCATGAATGGAATGTTCTAAATTTTTTTAGAAGAAAAAAAAAAGGTCTGCAACTGTTATCTATCCTGTCCAGAGGGAATTTGTAGAAGAATTTCAGTACTCAGTAGAGATTGCATGCTAGGGAACACCTTGACTAGGCATTCGATGGTTCAGAAGGGAGGGTAGGAACTAGAAAGTCAACCAATGTCTGAAAGCACGCCATACTGCTTCATTATGAAGCTAGAGATCAAACTTGACCAGGGTTACCATCCTAAAATTATTGATCATGCTTCAGTTTTTTCCCTTTTATGCTTTTTTGTCCACTATCCATATCTGACGCCATCTGTACGAACTATTGCTTAATTGGCATAGCCAAAATCTGATCGAGTCTATGACCGAGTAGTCTTCTTCCCCATGGTTTCTTGGGAAAAAAACATAAGAGGTAATTTTAGCAGCAATAAGTAAGGCTAGAAACTAGCAAGCACAATGTTCCAAATGAAACATAATGCAAGTAGTAACAGGATCAGGACCTGAGTCCTAAGGATGTCAGAAGTCAGGACCGGACAAAGATGGCGGCATGAGGGACAGCGCGGCATCGGCAGGGGTGGCGGCAGGCTGGATGGTGTCGCAGGCGGTGGGGCGGGTGACTAGAGGCTCGGGCATGCCGAACTAGAGTGTCCATAACTGACAATATGAACAAGACAGCCACTAGCTCGAGTGCTAGACAAAGTATCATTCCAGCAATATGTCCATAACTCTCCATGACAAAGTATCATTCCAGCAATATGTCCATAACTCTCCATGAGAAACGAAAGGTCAACGATCAACAGTCAACACAAAAGTCAGGCGCTCCCGTACAACAATGTACGTGTGTAACCTGTAAATACGACTCAAGAAGTGGCCATAAGACCTGCTGCCAACGTACCAGCTCCCACAATCAGCGACAAAGCTTTGTTCAAACCACACAGCAGATCATTGAGTCCACCTCTAACTCCCATGACCACTGCTGCAGCAAATGCTTAGCTGAGCTAAGAATCCCTGCGATTGACATTGTGGAAAACTGAGCGACTGAAAGTACTGATGCAGCAAGATGTTTTGAATATTGATATTCTCAAACCATTACTTAAGCAACTCTTAGAAGACATGCATGTGCATTCGGAAGAGAGTATTGTCAAAAAAGGTCAACCGATCTGCCTGTGCTAAGATAGATTGCAGAGCTATAATTGATCAAACAAAAGTAACAGAATCAGACAGAAAGAGCTCCCATTCTATCATGCTATTATGCTAATAAATGTGTGTGGTTGCTACCTGGTCCAACAAATTATCCCGTGGCAAGCAGGCATAAGCACAACATACATCACGTTATTGATCAGTTTCTAACAGTTTAGCCATACAGGAACAAGTATGTACCTGACAGTTCTGACTAGCCTCAGCATTGTCTTCACTTTGGTTATCTCTCTGCCAGCTGCCCTTCATCCAACGGCCTGGACCTGGAGGGCTGCGGAAATGCCTGCCCTATTGCCACTTCCCCAATGGCCTTGGTAAGACAAGCCCCCGAGGAAGTGCAAACAGGAACCTTGCAAAGCGATTTGATAATGCCATAAAAGCAAAACAGCAAAAGTAAGATAACTGAAACTAAAACAAACCGGGTGTTGACCTTTGTACTCTGAGAAATATTTCCGCGTGAATGCATTAGGCACCTGAAGAATATCATAGTGATGTACAAGACCTAAGTACAAGGGTAACTCCTATAGTTCCTAAACTGCAAACATGTCAAAACTGGCACCATTCTGCCAGTCTCTATTATCTACAGGAACACTTCCCTCCCCTGAAAATGTGGAACCCAGACGAGTCCCTGACCGAGATCACTTTACCGGTGGCAGCAGAGGCGTGCTCCAAGAAAGAGTGGCAATCCCCGCACATGCGGATGTTCTTCACCACACGGACGATCTGTCCAGGGCCTGCCATCAGAAGGCCATACATTGACGCTAGCTTCACGCTGTGGTACATCAGAAAGTGCCTCTTCTGGTACTCCTCGACGTCGTGCAGGACGAAGGTGGTGTCCGGCTCGTACCCATCCTTTATGCACTCAAGGATCAGCACATCCAGGCCGGCGTATATGTCCCTGGACTGTGGGTGTGCTCTATCCCGTGCGAAAAATGAATGGACCATGTTGCCGTGAAACGTCCAGCTCCTGGCTGGGATCTTGCGCATACCCTTTTCACGCATCTGTAGCCTTGTGTTCTCAGAGGAGTGCCACCTTGCTGATTCAGATAGCAGGTTTGAAGTCAGCACGTATGTGGATGGGTCTTGTGGCTCCAATGCCAGCAGATGCTTTATGGCTCGCCTCCGCACGGCCATGTTGGACTGCTTGCTGCAGCTGTCTAGCAAAGACCGCCAAACTAATGCATCAGGCTTCAATGGCATACCACCTATAAGCTGCTCTGCCTTGTCAAAATGGCCCCAGCAGCCAAGGACATAAACAAAGGCTGCATAGTGCTCCATGGCTGGTTCAATGCCATATGTGCTTGGCATAGAAAGAAAGAGTTCCCTGCATTTCTCTGTGGAGTCTGAGCTTGTGTGACTGCAAGCAGATATGACCAGAAGAAAGGTAATGGAATCAGGCCTGATCATTAATCTCTCCATCTCAGACCATATCTTCAATATCTCATCCCCCTGATGAAGAAGATGGGCAGTGACCATTGCATTCCATGACACCAAATCTCGACAAGTCATCCGCTCAAAGAAATTGGCCGCATCTTTCAACTCCCCGCACTTGCCGTACATACTAATAAACGCGTTACCAACTCCACGAACGCACAGAAGCCCAGATTTTGCAGCAAAGGAATGCAATTGCTTTCCAAGTTCAGCAAAACCTAGACTGCCACATACCCCAAGGACAGCAGTCAACATGAACTCATCGATGAATTCTACACCACTGCTTCTAAACATCTGAAGGAAGGTCGAAAATGTTTTCTCATACTCACCATCTCTGACACTAGCCAGCAGTAGAGAATTCCAGGCAATGTGAAAGCTCTCCTCATGCTGCCATTGCTCAAATAACAGATGTGCGTCTCCAGATCGGCCACATTTGATGCACATATCAATCAACACAGCATCAATCCACGGACTAGACATGCATCCACACTTGATCACAAAAGCATGAACCTGCTCGCTCGCCTTCCTATCCGCAGCAATAGCACAGACATTCAGCACGCCCGTCACCGTGACATCTGAGATCTCCAGCCCATCCTCCACCATTTGCCTAAACAAACCGAGACCTCGGAGGCCCGCCTTCTTGGCAAACGTGACGCGCACGCCTTCCTTTTTCCGACAAAACCCAGTGAGAACCGCATTATATGTGACGAAGTTCCTCTGCGGCATCCATTCAAACACGTCCAGTGCCATGTCGACGAGACCGAACTCCATGTACCCATTCAGCAGACAGGTCCACGAAATCACATCCTTCACCGGCATCCTCTGGAACACGCTCACCACATCCGCAACAGAGGCCCCATGCTCCGCGTAGAACCCCCGATGAGCGCGTTGCCCACGCTCAGGTCCGTCTCCAGCCCCGACTTGAGCGACAGAGCATGCACGGCCTCGCCCTGGGGCTGGCCAAACCCCTGGCCCGCCGTGGTGAGGAGCGCCGACAGGGTGAACCTGTCGGCACAGACGTCCCCGCTAGCCCGCATCTCGCCGAACAGCTCGAACGCCTCCTCGTGCCGCCCCAGCTCGACGAGCCCGGCCAGGACGGCGTTCCACGACGAGACGTCGCGGTGGTCCATGCCGTCGAACGCCCTCATCGCGTCCCCGAAGCGGCCGCACTTGACGTACATGCCGAGGAGCGCGTTGGCCACGAGGAGCGACGAGGCGTGGCCGGACTTGGCGGCGAGGGCGTGCACCTGCGTCCCGAGGCGCGGGTTGCCCCTGCGGGCGCAGGCGGTGAGGAGGCCCACGAAGGTGTACTCGGTGGGGAGCAGCCCGTCCGCGAGGCGCATGCGGCCGAGCAGCTCCGCGGAGGCGGCGGTGGCGGAGCCGGAGCCGCCGGCGAGGCGCGCGTGGCCCGAGATGAGCGCGCTGTAGGAGGCGGCGTCGCGCGCGGGCATCCGGTCGAACACATCCCGCGCGTCGGCCAGGCGGCCCGCGCGGAGGTACGCGCACATGACGGCGTTGGCGGCGCGGGCGTCCGGGGAGGCGCCGAGCACGCCGGACTTGACCGCCGCCGCGTGCGCGGCGCGGGGGTCGGCGGCGGCAGCGACCACCGCGCGGAGGGGCAGGCGGGGAGGGGCCCCATGGGGAGGCGGAGGAGCGGACGGCGCGGGCGGGAAGGAGAGGAAGGTAGGGGCCGGGGAGGTGAGGTGGAGCGGAGCAGGGGCGCGGAGCTAAAGGTGACCCGGACCGGAGGAGCTCCCTCCATTGACGCGTCGCGCGCTGGGGCGTCCATGGAAAGGGATGAGCCCCGGCGTGGTGGGCTTAGTAGGTGGACCGGCCCATAAGACGAAGCCCTGCCCAGCTCCAGGATCGTATTGAGCCAAACTGTTTTCTAGTATTACTTATTAAATACTTAGTCATTTTGTCTCTCAAAAAAATACTTAGCCATTCTGTCTCTCATAAAAAAAATTTAAGGTGAACTGATCGTAGGTCAGTTAGTGGGTTCCTTGCGGAGCTGTGGTGAAAACCTGTCCTCCACCCGGACTCAAAGATCTTGCATTTCATTGACACCGAATCAGCATTTTCTTAGAATTATTTCCTGATATCCTCGAAAGGTTTCGTCCAATCCGGTATTCGTGCACGCACTCGGCAGGTGCTCTCTGATTTCTCTTCAGTTTTGCATGTCTTCTCTCTACACTAAAAAGCCTTGAAAGGAAGGTTTCGTCCAATCCGGTATTCGTGCGCGCGCTCGGCCAAACAAGATCACCAGGAGAGATTAGATGGAAACACGGATCAAAACAAGACCACCGGGAGAGATAAGACGGAAATAAACTAAGAGAAATAAGCTGGAAACATGTACGCACACGATCGTGCGCTATCCCGAACAGGAATCGTCTGCGTCCCTGACCTCCTACGTTGCATGCCCACATGCAAAATAATACTATACGGATTCCAAATCAATCATGCAGGGGCCTACACACTACGGCAGGCAAGGATGCCGGTGAGCACTTGCTAACATTGTTCCGTAGAAAATTAAGTTCAAGAAAAATTACCACAAGATTGCTAAAAAAATGGTAATAACAACATGTTCGTACTTGTATTATAGTGATAACTTTTTCCCGTTGATTTTGGGCTAGTTTGATGGAACTAAATATCGTATTTCTTTGAGGTCATGTTGCATTCTGAACAAAAAATGGGGCGGACAAGATGTGGTGTTGCAGAACAAATATGAGCTTTCTCAAAATTTCTCTTTTGGCTTTTATATCAGCGATTTCAAACTTTAGGGATGACACCAACACCAAGACATGACCATTATTCAACGTCACCAGGACACGTCGATTGATCCGGTTACAATGCAAGAGTAGGAGTACTTGAAAACTAATGTTTGCGCCAGACAGCCGCCAGCTGAAGTCGTTAATTAAGGCCCTCTTTGAGCACAGGAATAGAAAAAACGTAGGATTTTGGTAGAAATACATATGCAAAACAGAGGATTGAGAAACACAAGAAAAGTAAGGGCTCCTTTGGTTCAAAGGAATTTCACAGGAGAAATGTAGGATTGTGATTTCCATAGGAATGGTCACTGTAGCAGCCTTTGGTTTACATGATTGAGCTGCAGGAATTTTGGAGGAAAGATGCCACCAGTTTCACAGGTGAAACATAGGAAAACAAACATCCACTTGGAGCTCTTTTTTTTCATAGGATCGAGGCAAGTCAGAAGTAAAGACATGATTGCTCCGAGAAGAATGGCTGGAGCAACTAATACTCCGTACAAAAGCAATGCATGTGGCACAAAAAGAGCTAGCTTGCCTACAGTTGATTAAACTAACCTAAAAGGATTAGACATTTCCTAAGGTTGCTATTCCTACAAACTTCCTGTGTCCATCCAAATAACTACTCCAACAAATTTCCTGTGCTTTTCAATCCTTGATTTTGCACATGCAATCCTATCATATTCCTACATTTTTCCTTTCCCATGTTTTTCCAATCCCATGATCCAAAGGAGCCCTAAGGAGTACACCCTTTGGATAGAGCACACGAAAGGAATTGGAAATATATAGATAAATTATTGTAGTCATACAGAATTGATCTTTAAATGCTCCATTTGCACGCAACCTAAACCCTTTGCATTAGTGGCGACAGGCACATTTGCGTCGATCCTACACGAAGGGGATGAGAAAAATGAGGTTCAGCTGGATGTTTCTTTTCCTACAGTTTTCCTTTGAAATGAGCGGCATAGGAAATTTTCCTTCAGCTTTCCTATGGTCCAATCCTCCATTATGGGCCTGAAAAGGAAAAAAAACATAGGAATGAGAAAGGAATGTATGGGCAAAACAGAGGATTGGAAAAACACAGGAATTCTATATGAATGGTGTTTGGAACGCAGGAATGAGATGATATATATTAATCCGGAATCAATAGTAAGAGGATCATTAACCGTTTCCTTTAACATAGACCTTGAATGATACAAGCTATTATTAAGACTTAATTGGACGAGCTGTTGAGTAGATTATCCAGCCCAGGAGGCATGTGACGCACGGGCCCATGGACCAATTCCATTTAGATAAATTCATACAGCGCAGGGCCCACTGGTTCTTATCTCCCCTGCCTTCTTATCTCTTTTACTACTCATCTTCTCGAATGCGCTCTCCTCTGCATACCACGCCGCCGCTCGCTAGCACGCCGCCGCCGCGCCATCACTGCACAGCGATGTCTCAATCCTATAGGAAATGGAATCCTCTATTTTTCCTATGAAAATCCTTGAATCCAAAGGAGCCCTAAACATTTTCATCAGGAGCAGGAGCAGGACGCCTGAGGGCAGGTCCAGTGCAGGCTAACACTGCCAGTGGTCTCAGTATAATTAAAGTGAACCATGTAGACTAGGAGATATTAATACTACTATTCACATAATGTAAACCACCGTGTCTTTTCTACTTGTCCACCTTGCTTTTTTCTTTCACCATGCACCATTTTTATCTCTCTCTCCCTGTTCTTATCTTGCATGGACCACATTCTCTCTCCAAAGCATATGTAGCTTCACACAACAATGACACATGTAGAGCACCTACTTTTTGTACAACATGGCATCCGAACCTAGCTGGACCTTAAAGCCACTGCTGAGGCTACTGGCATTGGGGTAGCCCTGATGAAATCGCTGGAGGCTCCATTCCCGACGCAAGCTAAACAAACCGCCCGGTCTCATATTAAACAATATTCCATGTTCCATAAAGATAATAGTAATTGTAATTAAAAAGGAATAGGTTGGATGCTTCGTGGCTTATGTCAGTTGAGGACTGTCCATTGTAGGTTTGTGTGTGTGGTTGAGCTTGAACATACTACCGTATGCCCTTGGTAAGCCTGAGTACCTCGTCTATTTCATTATGGGCCTGTTTGTTTACCTGGTCAAGGGTGGATGGCCCGTTTGATCTGGACCAGGCTGCCATGGGGCAGTCTGATTTTGTGCAACTAGCTGTGTCTGTTTAACATGAGCTGATGTTTGTTTGGCTGCACCAGTTGTTTATGATCACCTTGCACTAGAACTAGGTAGAATTACCACCCACATCTTCACCCAAGTCGCCTCTTCTTCACCGAAACAGGCAAGCAACTGCTCAACCTTCTCGATGAATCCATGACCGAACAAAATAATTAATGAATTGTAGAACACCATGGTTACCATTACACTGACAATAATTCACCGGCATGCACATAAGTTGCATCCGTTGTATGTGATTGCAATGCCACGTCGTCCTACGGTACATGGTTTACTGAGCTTGATTTGTTGGAACTAAATTTTAATCCACGTAATCAAGTTTCACCTTCCCAAATTCAAGTACAGAACTTACTAGAAACCACAAAAACAAGTGAACTACAACCAAACGCACTTACCTGAGGTCTGGTCTTCGTAGACATTTCTACAAACACGTTGCAAGCATGCTCCACCCACACGTCTTCCTCACCGTCAAACGCTTGCTCGTTCTCATGCTCCACCCAGCTGTGCCTCGATCCGCCTCCCTGACCCGACGCGCCAAGCTGGATATGGATACACGCGCGCCAGCTCCAGCCCCGTGCGCAGGCAGTCGCACACGGCGCGCACCAGCGCGTCCACGTCCGCGTCGTGCCGCCACAGCTGCGACGCTCGCGTCCGCCGCCGGAACCTCGGCCAGCTGGCCGCTCGTCGACGCCGTCTTCCGGTCCACGGCCGGCGACCGCATCCCCGGGAGAGGCTGGAGCGGCTCGTTGTAGTGCGTCCGAGCGGACCCGTCGCCTCTTTGCGTCGTCCTTCTTCGAGAGGCCGGCGTCGAACCCGACGCACGCTGCGGAGGACGGCGCCTGGTCGCCGGAGCGAATTTGACGATGGGGGTTGGTAGCGGCGGGGAAGGGTGAAGAGAAGGGAGCTGACAAGAATTCCACCGGTGGCACGCAACGCGCCCACAGGAGCCCACACGAGCCTGGCTCCAGATGAACGAATTTTTTTTTTCGTTTCCCAGGGCCAGGGCCAGGGCCAGCGATGCTACAAGCCCACGGGCACAGTGACCCTGCTGAGGCAGGTAAACAAACACACCCTATGTGAGCTGACAAAGGACGTGGAATGATGGTGGCGTGTACTGTGCTCCCGGACATTGCGAACCAATTCATGTTTCGGAAGATACGAGAGAAATGGTTGATATACGTTGGTACGTCCAAGACTTGAAAAAAAAAACAATGTATATGAGCTTTCAACGATTTCTCTTACTGAGACCCGACCAAGGCTCGGTTGGCTAGCTGCGCCAGCGTGCGAGCAGCCCGCCCGAGTTCTCGATGCCTGATCAGCGCCTCGCACAGATGGACTACATCGTGTTTCTGAAGACTACTTAGGTCGTAGAATCTGTACTTTTCGTCTTGTTTTTTTTCCAGTCGAAACAGTATTTTTCTCTCATAGCAAATCAGTTGAAACAGTGTTTCGGCTTGTTTTTTCAGCGAAGCGAACGGGACCTTAGTAACTTGTACTTAAAGTTTGAGGCGATTAAAAAAACAA